GTTCAATGTGTCTGTATGTATTCTAATCACTGTCTATATATGTCTATTGTCGCTGTATGTTTTTATTATAATATAATAATATATTTTTGTTACTGTAATCATTTTGGAAAATTGTCACGTGGTTCCACTGTTTTAAATATTTTCAAGGTGACAAGGCTTTATATTATCTGTTTGGGTGGGGGAGGGGGGGTCAAGGATTCGCTTAGCAAAAATCCTGATGTATACAAAATTTCTTGTATATACTGTGATGCCTGTACATTGTCTGTTGTGAAATTGGATGTGTCTGTATGTATTCTGATCACTGTCTATATATGTCTATTGTCGCTGTATGTTTTTATTATAATTATAATAATATATTTTTGTTACTGTAATCATTTTGGAAAATTGTCACGTGGTTCCACTGTTTTTAATATTTTCAAGGTGACAAGGCTTTATATTGTCTTTTTGGTGTTTGGGGGGCCCGAGGGGGGACGAGAATTCGCTGAGCAAAAATCTTGATACATAGACAAAATTTCTTGTATATATTATAATGCCCGTACATTGTCTGTTGTGAAATTGGATGTGTCTGTATGTATTCTGATCACTGTCTACATATGTCTATTGTCGCTGTATGTTTTTATTATAATATAATAATATATTTTGGTCACTGTAATTTCTTTGTACGTGTCTTTAAATATATTTTTTATTGATGATGTGTTATCTGTTTTCAGTAGAGATGGAGGTGTGTTTTGTGGATGATCATCACACAGAGGACAGCTGAGCTGATCACAACCTCGCAACCTCAGCACAGGTCAGTGCAACAATGATATTGCCATACTGATGATTCTTTTAAATCGAACTGTGACCATCGACAATATATGTGGTACCTGAGAAATTATCATTTGGGAAAATTGTCAAGTAAGTTCCAGTCTGTTTTATTATGTACAGNCAGAGTTGTATGATCAAAACATTGAATACTCTGCCATAAACACGGCCAAGAGTGCCTTATCTTCCATCGTTATTATTACTGACAGCGACCACGTGCAAGTGGGGCAACACCCAATAGTTAAAAGATTCATGAAGGGTGTGTTTAACAGGAAACCCTCTGTCCCTCGTTACACAACGGTCTGGGATGCCTCAATTGTTCTGGGGAAGCTGAGAGACATGCATGTTGACGGACTGCCTTTGAAGCAATTAACACTGAAAACCGTAATGCTGTTAGCACTGCTTTCCGGACAACGGGTGCAAACGCTCCGTGCATTAACTGTGGACAACATGAAATTAACCGAGTCCAGCGTAGAGTTTCACATTGATGTGCTTTTAAAGCAAAGTAAACCTGGACATCATTTATCCCAGATAGCATTATCAGCTTATACAGATAAATCACTGTGCATAGTGCACCATCTTCAGACGTACGTAACTGAAACAGCTCCTTTGAGAAAATCAAACGTGTTATTTATCAGCTATCAAAAACCACACTTGGCAGTTTCAGCAGAGACCATTTCTCGCTGGATTAAACAAGTTTTAGCCGACAGTGGAATAGACACTACCCGCACGAAAATGCAGTAGTATCGAAGTAGCAAAGAAGCATTAACGCAGTAGTGGTGTGGAGCATATTTGCAGTAGAAATGCAGTATAGCCTACTGCAATTCTACTTCAAAAATTACATAGGGTTGTACAGAGAAGGAGCATTAATGCAGTAGATTAGCAGCATGATAGAAGCATGTTTCAAATATGCTAATTAGCTCTCACATCGAAGCAGATTTGAAGCATGTTTGCAGTATGATTGCAGTAGTCTACTGCGCTGGAGTATCTACTTCGTTTTCGTGCGGGTAGTGTTTATTCAGCACATAGCACACGCGCCGCGTCGACATCAGCGGCAGCATTAATGGGATGCCCTATTGACGAAATATTAAAGCATGTTGGTTGGGCAAACGCAAGTACATTCGCCACGTTCTATAATAAAACTAAACATATTGTCAAAATGGACTCCAAAGTTTTAGAAACAATGACAAAAGTTTGAAGCTTTATTACAGTGAACAGTGGACGCTGACATTATTTATGTATAAACAAACAGATGCTAAGTGGCAACTGAAAGATATTCAATATTCAGTGTTTTAAAATGTACTACATGTATATTGGCTATATTGTTATACACAAATACACATATCAAATTTATGCTGCAGGTGTTGTTTTAATTTTTGTGGGGTAATCACAATGGCCTCAGAGCTTTTAAAATCTCATGTGGTTCCGTAATGAACTTGACAGTGATGAAGTAGAATTAAAAAATTAAACGAAACTTACCGAAGTTGAAGTTTGATTGTAATTCTACTTCATCGCTGGAAAGGAATGTAGGAATCACATGCCCACCCTAGGGTACTTAGCCCTCCCAGTAATACAATTTTTCAGGAAGTTTACAGACAGCAGTCAAGTGGTCATTACAATTTAGGCCTTCGTGCAGTACACTTTCGACCATTGGATTACCTGCGTTCAAAACTGAAGTCCGATACGCCTGCGCTATCTCATGTGATTCCTACATTCCTTTCCAGCGATGAAGTAGAATTACAATCAAACTTCAACTTCGGTAAGTTTCGTTTAATTTTTTAATTTTATGGGCCTCGACGCACACAAGTCATCTGGACCAGATGGTATTTCGCCAAGGCTTCTAAAGACATGTGCACCACAACTGGCACATATATTCACGGATATTTACAATCTATCGCTGCTTTCCCAACGAGTTCCGCGGGCATGGAAGACAGCTATTATCATTCCTGTGCCGAAGTCCAAAACAGTTTCTTGCCTAAACGATCTCCGTCCGGTTGCGTTGACTCCAGTTCCAATGAAAATTCTAGAGAAACTTGTTCTGTTGTATATTAAAACCATTGTACCAGAGACACTTGATCCCTTTCAGTTTGCATATAGACGCAATAGAAAGCGTAGATGACGCTCTTAGTATGTGCTACACAGCATTTTAGAACACGCGGATAAAAAAACACATACGCAAGGATTTTATTTATAGACTACAGCTCGGCTTTCAATACCATTATTCCACAAAAACTTTATGCCAAGCTTTTAAACGAACTGAAATTTCCTTCATTTTCATGCATTTGGGTTTTAGATTTTTTATTAGACAGGAAACACGCTGTGAAATTGGGAACAAGTACTTCTGATATTGTGGTTTTAAATACAGGTGCGCCTCAGGGTTGTGTTCTGTCACCATGTCTGTACAGCTTGTTCACGTATGATTGTGTTTCATCTCATGAGAGTAATTGCATTGTGAAGTTTGCAGACGACACCACTTTAATTGGCTTAATAAGTGATAATGATGAGACCTGGTATAGAAACGATGTCAACTCAGTTGTATAATGGTGTAAAGACAACGATTTGTTACTGAATGTAGGGAAGACTAAGGGAATGATTGTTGATTTCAGAAAGAATAGAAAAGTGAAAGAACCCATTCATATCAGTGGCACTGCAGTAAAGCAAGTAGCCAATTTTAGACTACTGGGGGTAGAATTCAATAGCTCACTTACATGGAAGGACCACATAGACAAACAGTTAAAAAAAGCGAGGCAAAGGGTATATTTTTTAAGAAAGTTGAAGGATTTTACTTCAAATGAAATGATTTTAGCAAACTTTTACAAATGCGTTATAGAAAGTATATTCAAATTTGCAATCATAGTGTGGTATGGGCGGGCCACTGTAGAAGAACGCAAGCGTCTAGATATGGTCACATCAACGTGCGGCAAAATCATCGGTCTGGAACTCCCCTCTCTAGGTGCCATCTATACTAACAGATCAGTAACAAAAACAGAGAAAATTATGTCCGACTATACCCACCCTGCACATGGGCTTTTTAAATTTTTACCGAGCAACTGCAGGCTTTTAACTTTTAAGGGATCTAAAAGGTTTCTAAAGAGTTTTTACCCATCTGCTGTGTCTTATTTTAACAATAAAAATGGAAATTTATAATTTATTTATTTATTTATAATTTGTAACCCGAATAGCAGTCCAATTTCCGTTTTATATGAATGTTTATATTTATATATTAATGGCTGAATAAACTCTTATCTTATCTTATCTTATAATGTATTTTATGGTGGTAACTACGCACGAGATGGTTACCCTGAAGAAAAGTGTAAATAGTGATTTACCTTTCATGCTGTATGTGCTGTATTGTTTCAAAACATTTGGCGATGACATTGCATAACTTTGTATACGATTTTAATGCCATAGACTTGAATATTTTCGAAATGTATTTGTTTACTATAATGCATTTTCATGGATGGCTGGCATGATTGATTGTAGCATTTTCATTTTATTCATTTATTTTATTTCTTTTTCAGTTATTTGTTGTGGTTTATATATCATTTTTGGCAATATCTTTGGTGCAATGGCTATATTATTTCGCAATTTGTATATAATTTCAAAGTATTTACAGTGTTAAAGGTAGAATTATATTTTAATCAACATTATATTGCAGACAAAAATTCAACTTATTTGCCTTCGATGTGCTATAGCAATACTACTAGATTCAACACTTTCTCTTAATCTCCGGTAACATTATGGCTGGACAAAGAAATTTATAATGCCACAGATGTGGTAAAAGTATAACAGTTCAATTGCTGACAGAATTATGTGTTATTAGTTTTCAGTTGCAGTCATTTTGGCATATTGTATAGTGTATTTTATTGCAATAGAGCTTAGTTGAACTTTGTGTTAGAGGAGCCGACCGATGCATCTAATGCAAGAAGTTAATTTTTTCCACATTTGACAACTGAAACATTCAGAGAAACTCCCATGCCTTTGCACATTATTTCATTTCCATGCGTCTTCGCAGGAGAAAGACATCATATTCTTGTTCTTTTGTACTTTTAAGCTTATGGTTTCAATTTATAATTTTTAGGAAAGGCATATAAGGTGATCTGAATGTTTTGTTCTCAGTAGAGATATTTTTGTGAACCTTGTGCTGCACATATTTACATTTGGAAAGTGAAGGTCTAGAAGAGATGTGACTGTATCTTAATAGCTGAGCTGCAATAACGTTGGAAAATAGGTCACATCTAGACCATACGCTGCACATTTCCAAAAACCAAGCGAAATAGAAAACAATGAAATGGGCGGTAAGAGTCATTTTCGTAACCATATTTAACCGTATTTAGGCACAGAGATAGGGAAATATAGACTCCTGCTTGACATCAAATATTATTCTCTCGGTGGTGTATAACCTTTATGTGCAGACACCAGTATGCAACTTAAATCGCCGGTCTTAGAAATTGTGCATCATCATAAAAAGGTTGACGGCAGAGTCGGCGTGATGTGGTGTTAAGTGTTTAGCGATGAAGGGTGAACATATATGCTCCGAAAAGTCCTATTATAAAACAATACACAATTAACACCCATAGCCGTGGTATGATGAATATTGTAATAGACTGTAATTCGGCATGCGCAGGCTATTTCGGATGATACCCGTAGATTTTTTTTCCAGTTGGATTGGCAAAAATAATGTTTAAAAACATATAAAGTTCCTTTTAAAATTGGGCTAATAAGGATTAATGTGTACCTATCTTTTACTGTGTTCTTGTATAGTAGGCCTACATTTGGTTGCGGAGTGGTAGTTTTCTGTGGTACACTACTGTTGACCAGAAACCAATATATCACCGGAAAATGACAATTATCAAAAGTTGATTTATGTCATTACCACTTCCATTTTGGGTAATTTCGGTTCGTTGCCGATGATTTCATTTAAATTTGATTATTATAATGTTATTGGTCAGACCCAAGATCTGTATATATAGTCTGCCTATAGACCAGGCATCAATATATAAAATTATTGTACGTTGGAAAAGAACGACCTGGTATATTCTACGTGACCGCAGTCGCCATTTTGGCAGGGGCAGTTCTGTCAGCAAGCCTACCACC